TTTGTTTTAGTGACTGAACTCGTATTTTTGCTTCGCTATTTTTTTATGTTGGTTATTATCTGAAATAAAGAAATTTTCATTCTGGTGACTAATGTGCATGGTTGCCCCAATCTTCATTCTTATGCCTTTGATATTTCCTTTTCTAGCAAAAGTATTTCAGATTTTTCCTTTTTGAGATTTTATTTTGCTAATTGTTCTAGACCATGGGAGTCAAACTTTATCACATCATGGGTTGGATCATGACGTATCACCATAACTTTTGCACTCTGCATAAAGGTAATAACAAACACTTAAAGGGCATATCTATCAATCAAGAGGATTTTGACAGTCTACAACAGGCCTGTCAAACTGGCAGCCCATGGGCTGGATATGTCATGCACAGGCCACGCCCACCCCACTTCCGCAAAGGCAAAAAACATCACGATACGTCATGATCCAACCCGTGATGTGATCGAGTTTGACTCCCATGGTCTAGAACAATTAGCAAAATAAAATCTCAAAAAGGAAAAATCTGAAATACTTTTGCTAGAAAAGGAAATATCAAAGGCATAAGAATGAAGATTGGGGCAACCATGCACATTAGTCACCAGAATGAAAATTTCTTTATTTCAGATAATAACCAACATAAAAAAAATAGCGAAGCAAAAATACTAGATCAGTCACTAAAACAAAATTCCTTAATTTACTAAAATGCAAATATTTGTTTGAATGTTAGACCCTTTCACATCCAACTTAGAAACAAGACTGTAATTCCATTGTTATAAGCTAATTTTACCACTAGGGTAGTACTGAAAAAGAGCCTTTTCCCTGGCCAGCTCAGAAGCAAACAGAACTGACAGCAGAAGAATCAAAGTTACTGTTTTCCTTTCCAATCTAGCTTGCACCTATTTGAATTTCTTGTACCTACAGTTGATCAGGACAATCAGTAAATGTAAAGCTGAGCCTAGAGAGCACCTTCCCAAATAATTTGTAGCATACAGGTTTGTCCCACTCTTTTTTTTCCTTTCTTTTTTCCTTTCTTTTCTTTTTTGCTGTACTAATTATTTGCAAGGAACCTTTCAGTGTTCCACAACATTTAAAATTCAAAAACAATTGCAAATACCATGTCTTGCCTCTGTTAACTGTTAGTTAGAATATAACATAATGACTTGTCACTGTGCATTACCTATTATCTTTTCCTTAACTGCTGTAATTGAATTTTGTTTTGTTTCAAACAACATGCTATGCAAAACAGATAACCTGACAAGGCTTCTATATGAAACAACTGATACATATGCAGTTAAGCATGCATGTGAAGGTTTTTAGCTGCAAATTAATGTCACACTGTAGCAGAGAACTAGGAATCCGCATTTCAACCTCTAAAATTTCCCCAATGATTTAAAATAAGCAATTAAATAGAAATACAATTTACTGAAATGGTACTTTCAGAAAAAAATATTACATACAATGATATTCATGTTACAGGTTTTCCCTATTTTTCATTGACATCTGCTTTATTAATATGCTCCTATTATTACAACTGAAAGAAAACAGCTCAGAATATAGTTCTGCTATTATGCTAAACAAGTTCCAAATCCTGTGGGGATTGTATAAATTACCAATAACTATAAACGTGACGTTGCATTTATTGTCTTCAGCCTTGCTCCATACTGGAACCTGCTGGTCCCAGCATGTATAGAACTCATTCCATAAAAAACAGAATTGATTATTTGTAAAGAACTAAAGAAAATGCAGTATACTTACATTTATTTTCTATCACATCATTTGTACAGGGGGGATTTTATTTTTTAAAATTTATTCTACCTTTTTAGTTTCTTTACCAAATATTTTAATAATTCTTACCTTGACTGGCTTTATCAGTAATACTACTATTAGTATTAGTACCAGTTATAAAGATAAATTAAACATTTTACTTAAAATAACAAATCTGAAATAAAAAGGATTGTGTTCTTTCGTTTGTTTTCATGCACAGTATCAAAGATAATCTATACTTTTTGCATTTTATTCCTTCTAAGTGATACTTCCTAAGCACTTATTTCTTTGCTGAAAACATTCATTCTATAAAACTAACTGTCCAAGAAATTTACAATATGTTTACTGTATTAAACATAAACTTTTACATTCATAATTAACATACAAATAATAGCATTTCCAAGGAAGCTGTTAGATAAACCTATGAAAACGAAGACAATGAGACATCATTCTGGACAGATTTCTACAAATTTGTACAGGAGACTGCTCAGTATGCCATAAAAATAATATTTAATTTTAAATTACCCTCTTAAAATATAAATGAAAATGTTTATAAAGGTATCATTGACAAGCAAGATTAAAATTAAAAATTAGCTTTACTAGATGGGAAAATATAAATCATTCTTACAAAACTTGCAATGAGCTCATCAAATTCAAATGCAGCTTTCCATTAAGGTTTTTTTATATATTAAAGCAATAAACATGGTTCATTTGTCTTTCACTGGTTGCCATGTTTTTCTGTGCTGTTGCTATGAACTTCAGCCATTATCTGCGCTCCAAGGTAAACTACATGAACCATCAACAAAAGTGACACCCAATCTATGGAGTTCATATTTTCTCCAGATTATCTATGCTAGTTGACAAGCTGGTAATGAAAAAAATCACACTAAGCAAATGGTTCTCTAATAACAATAAATTTTCTATAAAATTATGAAGGGTACAAAATGTTTCCTTGCATCTATTTTGTCATGAATTCTAATTAATGCTGCAAAAAACCTGAGAGTGCTGGGTCATCACAAGAAGTATATCAAAGCTTGATTGATACTATGGGGCAAGTTGGCCTACACTGCCAACATTTCCTTCTTTTAAATTAATGGCCATCCCACCTACCCTAATCATATAGCTCAAATTATATTCCTCTTCTTATTTCAATTTTCTGAAAGCATGGAGGCTGGTAAAGATCAGTCATTTATCTTCTAATAGCTGGATAATAGATCTATCACAATATAGTATCTGCAGAAATTCAGGTGTTACATTCCCCCCCTCCACGTAAATCTTTTACAAACATTGAATCAGTATCTTTAGAAGACACTAGATTATTCATATATCTGTAATCTAAGCATTACATTTTACACATTCTCTCTTGCATATTTGTTACATGTTAAGAAATACATCTGATTTTGCTCCATTTTCCTCAAAACAATACTGTACATTAGAATATACCAGCAATTTTAATGGAAAAACTAGTAATAGTAATAAAATAAACACATGTATGACCTTCACAGGGTCTTTAGTTTAATAGTAATATATACTTAAATATACAGCTGCAGACCCAAAAAGGCCAATAAATATCAAGGAATCCCTGGGGTTCTCTGAGGTTGATTGTTTGCAGAGGT